TTCCCCTTCTACGGTCCCACGTACGTACACGGTGTACCGGGGATACACGGGGAGTGCAGGTCGAGTCTGTGGCAACCTGGTCTGAGAATTGGTCTCAGTCGGAGGTTTTAACCCAGGTTTTAACCCGCATAACGTCGAAAGATGGGTCTGACCGGACGAGTGTCGGGACTTACGACTGGTGGTCGTAGCAAAGAGAGAGAGATTAGGAGGGAAAGGGGAGGAGAGGAAGAGAGTATAACGGGTCTGGTGTGGTTTCAGGTGGGGATGAAGCGCGTGTCGCGAGGGCGAGAGGAAGCGGACGCGGAGCATTACCGAGCCTCATCCTCGCTAATGGAACGCCCTTGTCGAGAGTGCCACCACCTCGCGCGGGCTGGGCAGTGCGGATCAACGAGGCGACACTTACTACCCCGAGTCAGTCAAGTCATTATCAACAGCAGCAGCAGCAGCAGCAGCCGCAGCAGCAGCAGCAGCAGAAGCAGCAGCAAGAGCAGCGGAAGCAGCATACATCGAGTCCAGGTACACCGAGAGCCGTCGAACAATGGGCTAGCGAGCGAGCAGCGTCGTCGGCTTTGTCGGTTCGTCGTCCAACATCACCATCCTCGCCAGAAACAACAGGGAGACCGGGAACAGGATCGTCGAGAAGGATCCTCTCGTCGTCGAGTCGAGCTAGACCGGGGGGCAGAGGAGGAGGTGGAGGAGGAGGTGGAGAAGAAAGAGGTAACGCAGAGATCGGTAACGGTATCCATTTGGCGAACCACTGGCAGGAGGAAGAAGAGCTGGAGGCGAAGAAGAAGGAGGAGCACCGGAAGCGTTGCGTGGACGCAGCGGCGCGTTGCTGCCAAGCCGAGCATCTTGAACTGAGAGGTCGGCCGATGTCGCAGAACAATGCGATCGCGCCGCTCTCGCGGCCACCCTCTTCGCAGACGAACGCGAACGCCGCAGCGTCGAACGGACTAGACAGCGCCGCCAGCGGTGCAACCGGAAACGGGAACGCCGGCGCGTCCAACGATGCCGCGAATAGTAATAACAGCAACAACAGCAACGCCGACGACGGAGACGCGCACTCGGTGCAGCAGCAAAACGCGAGCGGCCGCGTGCACGACCACAATCGGCCATTTCCGCCGCCGAGATTACCCGGCGTGCACGTCGCCACCACCTCGGTCGCGCCTCTGGCGGCAGCAGCCGCACCGTCGAATCCAAGAGTATTGGTCACCGCTCCTCTCAGTCCGCTCTCGAGCACGTTCAGGAGCAGACCGAGAAACGTGGACACGTCGGCGAACGAGACGACGGCACGGGGACTGCTGTCGAACGACACGCCACCTAGGAGCCCGATCAGCGAGGTGAGCCTGACGGTACCCCGACCGGACGGAGAGAGGGCGATCAACGAGTACGTGGAGGCGCCGTTCAAGCATAACCAGGAGCGCCGTTACGACGACGATAACAAGAACTTCGCTGCAGATTGCGCGAAGATCGAACGAAGAACGCATCACCATCACCACCATCACCATCATCATCATCACCATCATCATCGTCTGAAGGACGTTACGGACGCGTCCGTGGCGGCCACGCATCGACTGCACGCGAGCAGGACTCAAGCGTTTCGGGGTTTGATCGCGAGCGGGACGAACGCGGCCGCGTCCGCTGGCGCGATCGCCGCGAATGCAGCGCCACCGAACGCCGTGACCAAGCAGCCGGTCTCGTTCACCAAGGAACCGGCCAATAACCTCGCCTCTAGAACTTACGATCCGGCCGGTTTGTCGATAATGTGCAATTTCTGCGGTCGATGTCGTTGCGAGTCTTGTCGGGAACCGCCGCCGTTGCCCAGCAAATGGTTGTGCGACAACAAGTGCTTCTGCTCCGCTGACACGATCCTCGATTACGCTTCTTGTCTGTGCTGCGTGAAAGGACTGTTTTATCATTGCGTGGACGGCAGCGGGAGCGGAGGGATCGACGGAGAAGCGGCCGGTAGCTGCGCGGACGAGCCGTGCTCCTGCACGGGTAACAGAAGGGCATCCAGATGGGCATGTCTCGGCGCCTTAACCCTCGTCATGCCATGCTTGTTGTGCTACTGGCCGTTCAAAGGCTGCGTCGCGCTCTGCGAAATGTGTTACGCTCGTCACGCCGCCCAGGGATGCAGATGCAACCCGAACACGATCGGTAACGCTGGGAACAACAGGCATCATCCGATCGCCAACGATATCGGGGACTCGAGGGATCCGGAGAAAAGGTTGCTCGACCCGGTCACGCCGGAACTCTAATAGGAAACCAAGTGGTCCGGTCGGTGGGTGATCATCGAAGCGAGTTACCATACCGACCCGACACGGATTCGTCGTCGGTCTCCCGCGGAGGGAGACACGAGCAGGCTCTGCGGGTTATCGAGAGAGGGAGCAAAATGAAAATTGCATTAAGTACAAGAGTTGCATTTAAGTCGAGAGAAAACGATATCGAAGATTCTGACGAATTTCTACGTTTCACGTCGCGAGTGTTTTATTTATTATTCTTCCATGCGCGCGCGAAAGCGAAGCGAGCGAGAGAGAGAGAGCGAGAGAGAGAGAAAGAGTACGAACGTACGAATGTAAGATCACGCGAGAGTGAGAGAGAGAGAGAGAGAGTATAGAAAAATGGTCACGAGTGAGGAAGAAGACGCGAGATGGCAAGGGACGCGAGATAGGTTATAGAAAGATGGCGGAGAAAGGGCGAGAAAGATGACATAGTACGCGAGCGCGCGTATTAACGCAGAGACATACCACTTACGTATAGATAGGTCTATACACGATAAAATATATAAATAGTACGCGCACACACAGGGAGTGAGTGCGAGCGTGACCAAGCGAATGCGTGGAACGTGCGAGAACGAGCGAGCAAGTGGGAAAGAGAGAGAGAGCGAGCAAGCAAATAGACGAACCACTAAAGTATATTAAACGCGAGCACGTGTACGCGCGTGTACACGCGTTCCTGCCGTTGCTTTGCTCGAAGCGCGTGTACACGCGTCTACGCTTAGGTTATAGGTTATGTATATTGTATATTACATTTGTATAAAGAAGAAACTTTTCTACGGTTAATTTATTCGTGGCTGCATCGCCAAGTAACACATAGAGTTTCACAGTAGGAGCACGACACGGAGAAAGGGCGAGATGTTTGATCAGCAGGCCGTGAAAGAATTCGGAAGGCGTCCCGGCCGACTGGACTCGATTATTTTTCGAAACCGATCCAGTCGCTTACACCGCGCCGGTTTGAAAACGCGCGTAAGAACCGAAGATGAAGAACGATATATATATATTGTATATATATGTATATTGTAAAAGAAGCATTGTCCGCGTTTCCGAGCGTTTTCCTCCGCTCGGTACACGATGTATACGCTTTTATACTCGTTAACACTGGAGTTGTATCGAGCGGCCCTGTCGAGCGTAGAGAGCGGTATGACACGAGATCGAGATAATGCACGCGTTCAGACTGCGTGAGAGCAAGAGAGCCGTAGGTCTCTGTAAGAATGAACGGTTGCATCTGTGTGTATATGTATGCGTGTATGGGTGTGTTTCATGGGGACGGCGAGAATGCGGGCAGATGGAAAAAGGACAATTGCGTGGGGGCATAAGCGCAAGAAGAAGAGAACGGTACGGAACGGAACAGAACGGAACAGAACGGAACGGAACGGAACGGAACAGGACGGATGAGGGGAGAAAGATTAACAACACGCCTGAAATTTCTCTTGTACGTACACGTATATATACACGCGTTCGGGCGTCGTTTCCATTTTTGTTAATTCTCTTCTTTTTTTTCCAGTATTATCTAGTCGTGCGAGTTTTATTAAGTATCGTTTCGTTAGGGAACGGGGGACAAGCGATACACGCGTGCGTGGTGGTTGCCAGACCGTTGCTGCCGTTGCTCCGCTCTGCTATACACGAGAGTGGTTAGGACGATGGAAATTCGCGTTAGCCGGAGCCGTCGAGCTTCTTTTTTCGCTTTAACGAACGCCGATTTAACGTATATACAAGGGTAATCGCTTTCCTCGTTAGTTCGACTCTACTTCTCCGGCAAGATTTTGAAATAATTAACGCCTTCGAGATTCTGGTGTTGGAGAGTCGAGCCGCCGCCGCTGCAGCCCGGAGCGGCGTTTAATTGCACGGTAACAGCGCTTCCCACGCGGACGGAATTCACCGAACGAAGGTGTGTTAACTTTCCATTCTTGCTCGAGCAGCTTGATCGTTGAAGAATGTACACGCTGTCGACGTTCCACGGTACACCATCGTCGCGACCGTTCGCGCGTTCGATTCTTTCGTCGTCGAAAATGTCGTCTGCTAAACCGTTCCATTAGTTTCTCCGATCGACACTGCCGGGAAAGTGGCGCCACCGTCTCTCTCCGTGTTCGTGTCGAACGGAATGTAGAACGAGTTACACAGGGATGGACGCGCATCGAATTTGACCACTTTTCGCGCATCTCGGGAAATGGCGACGAATGATCAAACACGTGTGCATGGTACGATGCGTACAAGGTCGACGTCGGGAAAGAATTACCTTGGAAGTTAGCGTGATATACGAGTGGGGGTACGGTCGAAAGCAAGTCCCGGGAAGAGCGATTACTTGACAAGACGGTTTTTCTTCCGATGGCTCGTTCGGCTTCGTTCATCGCGAAGAGGCAGCGAGAAGCGAGAAGAAACGGAGCGTTCAACCGCGTTTGCTGTTACGCTGACTTTCGGCAGTTATTCGCGATGAAAGCGTCCAAGTGTCAACGTGGCGGGAAACGTGGCAACGATCGAACGTGTCGAACGAATCGTGACATCCCGACGATTAGTCCCCCTCCTCCTCTCATTGTTTCGCCCTTCCAAGGGAGACGGGATAGGAGAACGTGTAAAACGTTGCGAAGGAACGGTGATTGGTGACTTTGAACGCAGATCGATCGGGTGGCCTTTCGCGAATACGAGGAACGTCGACGTAAACGTTCGACATATCGCGAGCAATTCGATGATGCAACGAGAAACACGACGAAATCGTATTCGCGAACCGTAACGTTCGAGTCTCTATGAACATTCGTCGAAACGTTTGCCCGCATTTTTTAAGTTCGATCTTTTTCACACGATCATTCGTTCGGGTCGAAAAGAGGAGAAGAAAGTTGCAAAGCAAAACGAGGAAGAACGAAATCGACTGTTGGCACTGGCTACGAAAGTGTGATGTACCGGACGCGGATGTTCGTCGAGATTCGATTCGAATGGGTCGACGCTCGAAGCATCATCGAGCTCGTCGAGTGGGGAGGGGTGGGGAGAGGAGATTTGTCGGGGTGGGGGAAGGATCGCTAAAATGTTAATCAGGGAGTACGTCGCGACGATCCCATTCATGCGTTTCGTGCATACCTATGCGCGCGTCTGTATGTATAATAATATGTGTGCTTGCGTGTGTGTGCGCGCGCGTGTCTCGCCAAGCGAAAAAGAAAGAAGTAAGTTTTTATTAATATTAACTCTATATGCTCTGTATATGTCTTGTAAATATATATATACATATAAATATTATATATACACACATACGTATATATATATATATATTTATGCATTTCTGTTTAACATATTGGAAGCAGTAGTTCGAGGACAGCCAAAATTGTTTCCGATTAATTTAGGGATTTGTCTGTCGTTCTTTGCAATATCATTTGTCGAACGCGCAGAGGCTATGACACAGGTCGAGACATCCGATCGATTCCGTTTTACCTTCCTGTCTTTTGCTTTCCTTCTTTTGTATTTTTTTTTCTTTTTTTTTCTGTATTAATCTTTGGTCTTTCTTTCGACGTTTACGTTGTCGCATCGTACTTAGGCAGCGGTAGGTTTCGAGACAGAATGCAAACACTTCCGGTGTATCGAAAACGCCCCTAACCTCAAAATATGCTCGCGCAGCGATCATCCTTGTGCCGCTCCAAACAGACCTTAGATCAGCATAAGAAAAGAGTGAGATAGAAAAAAAGAAAATGGATTCAGAACGTGTATACACGTTTGCATTGTCGTGCACATGCGCATTCCGCGTATCGTCGAAATAGGTTAGAAAAAGCAAAAAAAAAAAAAAAAAAAAAAAAAAAAAAAAAAAAAAAAAAAAAAAAAAAAAAAAAAATAGAAAACGATCGAGAGAAAGACAAATGCAGCCTGCCGCGAGATCAGGACCAATATTGTGGAAAAACTAACGAGATAAAAGGAATAGTATCGATATATATACCGCCTATACCGTATCGAAACGAGCAACGCGCGTGAAAAAAAGAAAAAAGAAAATATAAATGTAACGGACGAATACATAGGCGTATTTAGGTTCGATCAGTCTCTCCTACGGTGAACAAGCTCTCGTCGCATCAGGATCGTTACCGTCTGGGTCTCCATTGCGATGCCTGATCTTCAGGAAACTGTAATCGCAGAGCGTTAACGTCGACATTAACTACGATATATATCTTACGTACACGGACGTACAATATTGAAAAAGAAAAAACGCAAGAAAACAATGCGATGTAAAAAAAAAATAACGAAGAAACGTATCAATTCGGTGTATTAATCCCCTCGCCCCCCTCCCTCATGGACGATCGATACAAATTCGCCTCAAACTGAACGATCTTTCTACCTTTGATAATAATGTAACGCGACGGCTAAGAAACGGCGAAAAAAGGAAATAGTACGAGGAAGAGGAAAAAGAACGAATAACTAAGACGAAACAAAAGTATAGAAAAGAACGAGAAATTCCATTACTTCCGGTTGATGCGAATTCGTTACGTCCATAGGAATGCGTTGACGCACATGTTGTTATCTAATTGTTAGTAGATTCAGGTTTATACCGGCAATTGTTAATAAAGTTAGTAAGCAAATACTCTTTTATTTTCCATTTTTTCTCATGTGAATTTTATCCTCTTCACCCTTCGCGACGCATGCGCGTTCACAGAACAGCAAAACCTAACCTATTCAAGCCGTTGGGCAATTTACTTCCTCCCGAAACCTGTCGAGTATCATCGATTTTGTCGAAATTCCGGCGTCGACGGTCGATCAGACGATACCGAGTCACGATTCGAGATCGAAACAGGATAAAAATCGAAAGATAAACCGACAGAGCGATAATCGATCGATTTATCGACGTACGTTTGACGTGATTCGAAAATTCCACGCATGGTGGCGAGAATAAGAAAGCGGATACGTCATGCCATCTGTTTCGCTTGTTTCTGACCGATTCGTGACGGTTTAAGTTAATCAAGAAGGAGAAAAAGAGGAAGGAGGAGGAGAAGAAGAAGATGATGCCGTTGAGGGGCAACGGAAGGGTAAGGGCGGCGGCGACGAGGGGGGGAGGAGGGTCTGACGAGCCGAAAATAAGAAGAGAGCAAAGTGGCAGGCTGGCTGGTCCAGTGTTGTCACGTGACCGGAAGTGGCCTCTTCCCCACCCTTTGGCTCCACCTTCGATGTCGAGACCTGTACGCGATTCCCCCTCCTTCTTCCTCCGGCTTCATCCGGTTAGCGATGCGCATTAAATTCCGTCCGTTGCAAGTTTTAGAGCGATTTAGTTGCACGAAGAAATCCGATAAAAGTTTCCTTCCAATAGCACCTAATGAATGAGCGGCGTTTCAATAATTCATAGGTGAGTGCAATCGCTGGAATACAACAGTTTCATGGAATATTAATTAGATTCACAAGTTCCCGAAGGATGACGTTTCGTTGCCACTTTGAACATTCGCGTATTCGAGGATACGCGTTCTATACGGTCCGAACCCCAATCTTTAAACTTTTTCGAGTCTTCTAACGTGATTAGTGCCACCTGGCGATATCGGTGGGAAACAGTTTGCGCAGGACCACGTTTAACGCTCGGTATACGTGTGTACGAAACGCACGACGAGACTAATCCACGGGCGATTAAAATGACATCTACGAACGTTGTCCGACACGACGAAAGCTTCGTCGATGATGCGAAGCGATTCGGTACGTCTTGAGTCCATCGCTATCTCCGGTTACTTATCCCTTCCTCTTCGCTCGAACGAACGCATCAACGAGGGAAGATTGGCCTGGCTTGCTTTTGCTTCGCTTTGCCTTACCTTGACGACTCGTTGAACCACGTTCGAAGAAGTCAAAGCTACCGGAGACGTCCTTTAACCCTTTCACCTCCTCCCGCCCCGCGAAACTAGTTTCATCCTTTGGTACATATTGTATTAAGGATAAGCACCTATACGAGTACGTGACACGATAATTCCGTGGTACGAGCCGACTTAAAGATATTGTACGATGCGATACGTGGTATTTATCGTGTCGCTTTACGTGCAGGACGTGAGCATCGAGAACGCGAAGAGGCAAGGGT